TCGCCAGCCCCCGCCTCTTCTTACAAAGACGGAGACTCGCCGAAACCTGCTCGGGAGCAAGACAGCGAACTCGAAACCAAACCGTTTTCATCCGCGGAGGAGTTTTTTGCGATGCTGAAGGGCAGGGTGGCACGGAATGCCATTTCCTCAAAGGAGTTAGTGGATTCCGTCCTCGAACGGGTAAGTGCGGCGCCGATGTCATGAAGGTCATAGGCGTAGTGCAGGGGAAATAGTGCATTTTTCATGAAGGGTCGTTCTGATGCGACAGTACACGCCTCGCATTGCATTCATCTTCGTCAAACTCTCGTTTTCACTCCGCCATGAGGAAGGCATCGTTTTTCCTCTTAGATCATTAAATCATAACGATCTCCTCGAAACCGAAACTAAAGTATTTGCTTTTAACAAGGCTCTAATAAGATGCTGATAATATATTGCTAATTTTATTAAAAATTGATTCGACCTGTATAATATAGTGTGGCCTGATGACAGACAGGACGTCATCGAATTCGTCTCGAATCCGTTCAAAAGACAACTTTTGTTATAACGGCCAATTTCCTTCAACGAGGAATTGACCTCGTATTATTTCGGTGCAACTAGTCAAGGAATAGGTGGAATGTCGATGACTTGAGAACAATTGGGGCGGCATGGTGTTCTGGTGTAGTCGCGTCGGTACGGACGAAAGTACGACTATGCGAACGTCTCATAGATCTGTTCGCCTTGACCCAGCAGACAGCTGACTATCCAGTGTGACAACCAGCAAATCTGTAACCATCGCATTTATTGTTATCTATTTTTACGGATTCTCTCTGTACGCAGTACTTGAAGTTGCGCAGACAAGATATTTATGCACTTCTGCGTGAAAAGCAGGTGTCTTCGACCGAAGGCTATATAGCTGCTGTTTGAATGATATTCTTAAGCTAGAATTAACCTGTTTAATGCAAAGAGCTGCCTTTAACCTTAACTGTTGTAAAGTTCTTCCGCTCATCCTTTTGTGACCATCGGAAAACTAATATGTAGCTTTCTATACATTAATCTTTGAGGTTACTCTTGTTGTCATGACGAAGGGGGCCCATAAAGGTGGGATCTACTTGAGACATTATTGTTTCAAACTATTGATGAAAAATATTTTGTATATGTTTACTGTGATTATAAAACATGCTAATATAATTCTTAGTATTAGCATTTTTTAATTCGATTTTTTACTCTGAATTGGACTGTTTCACGTCTATAGCACTACCTTTCTGTTTCGGCACAGTTATGTTCGTATGATAAATAACGTTGTTATTGTAATGATCTCCTGCTTTCTAATAAAGTCTGTTGGCTTCGAGTCTTCTTCATTTCCAGAGCCACTGGATTGAAAGTCTAGTGTTTTGTTGGCTTTACGGTTCACCGTATAAACGGTTATAACACACTAGGTCGAAGTCAGTCGGTTATTCATGCTGGTCAGTGGACAGGACAAGTAGGATTCGACCATCGTTGGACCATGGAGGGAGCAGAGAGCCGATAAAAAAATCTCCAGATCGATATTGTAGATAAGCTGAGAAGAGTGATGGATTAAGATGGATGAATAAGGTAGAAAACAGAAGTGTATGACAAAATTTTGGAGAGGTGTTCATCCAGCAGTGGGCTGACCAAAGCTGACGATGATGACATCAAGGTCGGTAGTAATTTAAAGTCGCGATCTACACTTGCCAGCTCAACATTCCACTGACCTCCCTTTTCCTTTAACAAAATGCTAACATTTGATGGTCGGCGCAGACCTGAGTACCACTCTCTAGGAGCTTTGCTTTGAACGGGTCTTCCAGACAGGTCTACCTCATTCTAGAGGGAAAAGACGAAGCACTGGCGACAAAGGATGAGTGATATTTTCCCGAGGAAATTAGCCATACTATCAAAATGCAAAATATTTCGAAGAATGAGCAACTTGTTCTTTAAACCACTGATACTGAATCGGCATAAATTTTCTAGGATATGTTCTGTTTTTGTTTCCTTTTTGCATGTGGGCGAAAAATAGTTTAATGTTGTTTCTGGAAAGGTTAAAAGTATCGATCGCTGTTGGCATTTATTTGGCCCTGGAAAACAGGATTTTCTGTAAAATTCTTTGTGAATTACCAGTGAGCATTTTGTAGTAACTAGTGATTTCTTTTTTTGATCTCGTTACATTTCTCTACTCTGCTCTTCAAAGTCCGTTCCGTTCAGGGAAAAGAGAAAAACTTGGTTTGCAAACATGAAAGTCGTAATCTCTATTGGTAATTGTTACGACATTAGAGCTCTGAAAAGTAGTGGCTACCTTGGAGGTAAGTGAACAGACTAAGGAACCAACAAACGAAGAGTAGCAGAGAAGTACCTGGAAGTGAACAACACTACCATTGCTGTTCGATGCGTATATAATCTAAGGTAGAAGCTGCAGAGGTTCTCCCAGAAGTGTAAAATGCAGCTGGTATTCAGATCCCAGCATACATTACGGAGCCAATATCCAATCAGCAATGTCAGATCTGCACCTTCGTTGTGAATGCGGTCGCAATTACAGATAAAAACAGTCAGAACCTCAGTAACCTGAGAAGATGATGCAATGCCGATCTACCTCATAATGGACAAGCACTGAGAGGGAAAGGGGAAAGAAACGAAATATCCACCAGTAGTGAAGTAGGGATACATAAACAACTCGGCGGCTGTGGAACGCAGTACAAGGATGACACAGTGAATTATGGAACCTAAAGAAAGGAATACGTGGAATAAG